AAAAAAAAAAAAAGAATACACCCAGATTCAAAGGCTGGTAATGGGAACCTCAAACAGCTCTTTCACCCTGGACACAGTACTATGAGGCACTGCCTGCAGGGTTGGTTCTATTTTGTTTGTTTTTTGGCTTTTTGTTGTTGTTTCCTTGAGCAAAAATAGATCATACCTTGATTACCCTCTTATAAAAGATGTCTGCACTGTGAATTGTCAGCTGACAATGCCCATTTTCATCAACCAAAGTGCCAATACTACCTTACTTTTATAAAGGATTTAATCTCTTCAGAAAACACTATTTCCCTCTGAAGAATTCAAACATGCCAGCACAGGTGGCTCATGCCTGTAATCCTACCTACTCAGGAGACTGAGATCTGAGAATGGCAGTTCAAAGCCAGCCCAGAAAGGAAAGTCTATAAGAGATCATCTCCAATTTTAGCCCAGAGTTCAAGCTGGCAATAAAAAAATTATAAAAAAAATAATAAATAGGGCTGATAAGGTGGCTCAGTGGTAGAGTGCTTGCCTTGCATGCATAAGGTCCTGGGTTCAATTTCTCAGCACCACATAAGCAGAAAAAGCCGGAAGTGGCGCTGTGGCTCAAGTGGTAGAGCATTCACCTTGAGCTGAAGAGCTGAAGGACAGCGCCCAGGCCCAGAGTTCAGGCCTACGACTGACACAAAACAACTAAATAAATTAAATAATAATAATAAATAAAAAAGAGGCAGTCGGCATATTAAGCTCACTTTGAAATCAAATCAGACAGAACACATTAGTAATGACAAAGCAATTTTAATAAGCCACAGAGAAAAGGCTTTCTACCCCAAGAGCTGTTTCTCATCTCATTTTCAAGGTAAGTAAGTATCTTCTTCCATCTGCCAAATCTCATACATGAGCAATAAAGGTGGCATTTTCCATCTATTTTACAATTTTTCCATCTATTTTACAAGTTGTTGGATATGAAAGAAAACTGGCGCTATCAGTGGTCCTGAAACTGCCAATTCTTTATCCTCCATCAGCTAATCTAAGGCACAGATTGTACAGTATCTAACCTCAGCAAACATATACACCATTTTTAATGTCACAAGGTCACCCACATCCCGTATGGCACATGACATAGGGGGAGACTGACATCAAAGGAAGATGTACTCTTTCTGGAAGACAGGGAGACCATTTTGAGAAATCTGAACAACATTGTGCTTGTGATGTTTAAGGGCGACAAGACAACACGCTCATCTAAAAAACAACGGTTTCTCAAGAGATGAGGTAGGTATCTGAATCATCCAAACCAGCCTCTACCAGCCCTCCACCTTCAACCAAGATTCGTTCCACAACTTCAAAACATCCAATTAATGCCTGATCATTATAGTTCAGGGGCTGCCGATAATGACAGTCTCCAAGGATGTCTTCTGAGATCATCTCTACCCTCGCCCCAACGAAGTCAAACAGAAAGCGAATTTAGCCAAAGAGATTTGTTTTTTTTTTGGGGGGGGGGATGTTGTCGCACAACGAAATAAGCAATAGCAATTCTGTAAAAATAGGAGTCCAAATATTGCTCCCATACACACACATCCCGCGCGCCCGCTTCTAAGAACCCCACCGCCTCCAAGAATCCAGTCCTTCAGTCCTAGCGAGGTACTAATTCACCTGCTCCATTTCCTCTCTGCCCAGAGAAAAGCAGGAATTTTCTGGACCCCGCAACCCTATCTCTCCGGCAGGTTAAAAAAACAAAAAGAGGGGAGGGAATAATACCACATCGAAGGAACCTCCATCCTTGAAATCTTCTGCCTTACCCCATACCTTCAATCCTTTCGCCTCCCTCTAGCACGGTGGGGCGGGGG